CAATGATTTTGGTGGCTGAAACTCATGAAATTGAAATGCTACAACTTTAGCTGTCTTTGCTAATGTTGCACAGTTGTTTTGATTAAATTGGTGAACAATTTTTTAAAAAAATGAAAGGTTGCTATGTCCACAAAGTTAGTTTATTTCTTTTTGTATTTTTCAGGGAGTCACATTCATGTAGGCCTACTGGTAGTTTATGAACTATAACGTGTATGGGTTAACTTGGATGTTTTGTAACCCCCCCCCCGGGTCGGTGCCACTGACTGAAGTGTCTTTAGGTCTTTCCAAAAGGGGGGACATTTCTCGTTCATGCACAGAAGAAATTATTGTAAATGGGCTGATTCATCAATGTCACGCTCATAACTGTGTCTGATCTACAACAGGGAACTGCTGCTTTTTCTTTCCTAATCCTTACTATTGTCATTTTCCTCTACTTCTTTTGTATGTTTGTCACACTCTTGTGACCCGCTTTTTCCGGGGTGCCTTGATAGTCGAAGCAGACTTTGTGCTGTTGAAGCTAGAGAGGTGAGCAGAGTAAGTCTGATTCCCTGTAAGGACTTCTCTGTTGACATCCACCCCTTGGCGCTCATATGACCTTTTGCAGTTGCGAGCGCCGTAAAACCTCTATACTAAAACTTTTAAAAAAGAATGTTTTATCCGTAACTATAACTTGGTGTCAACTCTTGCAGACAACAGGAGAGTTTTTCTGTCAAGCTTTTAGTATATATATATATATAAACCTCTTTTGCTGTTTTCTACTGAACAATACCTTTCCTTTCCTCGTGTAATGTGACTGTTGGCATGTGTATATTATCCTACTGATTTTTAACTTGCTGATTCTTTAAAAAAAAATAAACTTCATTTTTTAAAACCACACACAAACACCCTCCCCCTAAAAAAACAGGAAATGTGTGGTGTGGTGTGATGGTGATTTTTACAGAGTTGTTTTTATAGTTTTTCTTTTGTTGTGTTCATGTGCTGAGTATCGGTTGGTGGAAGTGGGTGGTTGGAGGGTGCTCTGGTTTGGTTTGCTCCTTCTTTCTTGTGAAACGTCTATCGTCCTTTGATTACTTTGAAAACCCACCGGCAGGACATCATCAGAAATGTAGTACGTATTTTATGGAGGCGAACCAAACAACGACAAACCGACGGTGCGATTTGTTAAAATGCTCCTTCTTTCCTATCAAACATCTGTCGTCCTTATCTCTCTTTTTGTGTATGTTACTCTCATGTAACACATTTATTCTTCGGCACTTATGACATTATTGTGTTGCAAGTTCCGTAAAACTCTTCCGAAAACGAAAAAAGAATTTGGTGATGGATTAGACACATATTCAGGAAGCCAGCCTACAACGAGACAAGACAAAGCCTAAGAAAAGTAAGAAAGAGCCCCCCAGGGGAGGAGAAAGAGAGGAAGGCTGAGATCCCCCTGGGAGCAAGATCTAGAGGCAGATCTCAGACATATTCTGGTCGTTTTTAAACACAAGGGGGCTATCCCGAAAAATGCTGTTTTGAGAAAATCGAAGGTAAAGTTTCTGCCTCTTGTTCACTTTAAAAAACAAGGAGGGATTTCTTTATACCATTGAAACCAAACTTCTCCTATAGGTAGGGCACTGCCCACTTTTTGTGTAGGTCAAGATTTCTGGAAATCCCCGAAATAATGGTCAGCCGGCTTGTCTTTACTTAAAAGCGACTATATATATACACAGCTGACTGTAGGTGGGGTAGATCGCCCAGAACAGAGACAGGTGGAGAGTTTTTCTTGGTGGCCTATACCCGATACCAGGCTGGGTGAAACAGGCGAATAATAATAATAATAATAATAATAATAACACATAAGTTATAATATAACAATTATATAGCGCATTTCCAAAAAAAGCTCAATGCGCTTTACATTGGAATACCCATTACAACCTTTCTTACTACGATCCTTCCTTCTCATGCAATTTATGCGCAGACACACACACACACACATACACACACACACTAATTTCATTCAGACGTAGGCACAGAACACTATATTAATCTATAAAATAAAATGTCTGTGGCCCTCATCTCTCCTTCTTTTATTTGTACATAAATAAATGTATGTTACTCTCTAGTAACACCTCTAATCTTCGGTACTTGTACTTATACAGACTTCTACAAAAGTTAAGGACCACTTGCACATTTTGCTTAGATTCCCCGAGGATTTCCGTGCTGCACGTTGTGGTTTTGCCCCTTAACGAAGCTTTGCAGTACGCAGTGTTAACCCATTAACACTTTCAGAGCAAAAAATTTGGAAACATTCCTTGCTGTCTTTTTTTTCTCGGATTTTAACAAATCAGGGCTGTCTGTCAAGGTGGTCTTTAAACTTATGTTGAAGTCTGTATGACGTATTCTTGTTGCTAGTTCGATGAAATTCTTACTTAATCAAACTAGAATCTAAGTATTCGTGGAGTCAAGGGGGTGGGGGCAGAAAATGGAGACGAAAGTAGACGACAGAACATTGCTAGAGAGCAGGAAAGGAGAAAAAATTTTGGTCGCTACCCGGATTCGAATCCTGGACCTTTGAATGAGAGGCGAACACCTTAACCTTTAGGCCAGGAGAATTCTATTGTTGTATCTATTCAAAAATATGCTACAATATAATGTAATACTATGAAATACTTTGCCGCCTATACAAATGTGTGTCTCTCATTGTGTTTGATGGTTCATCAAATTTGAACTCTTTAAGTAGGACGTAACGGACATATATCTGTCCGACCAACAGCGACCAACAAAGACAATTAATGTCTCAGTACATTTCAAACCATCATAAATAAACTATATTAAAATATATAAAAAAAAACCACGAGTGTGTATATTTCACACAACAATATGTTTTTGTTAGCCTTTTAAAGTTTCTGATAAAGAAAACAGAGTCGAAAAAACATGTTTGAACAATAAGTTCGTCCCAAAACAGCGCATCTGTGGCGTAAGCATGGGCGAAGTCAAGTCGAGATTCGGAATTCGACGAATTCGTGGGGTCTGAGTCGGAGATCGAACATTGGGCAGGAGGACGAGTCCGAACACGAATTCCCGAACTAGGGCAGCCAAGGGGAAAATAGATCACGAGGAGCGAAAACATATTTAATTTGTTAAAAACTGTGAATAATATTACGCAAAACTGCACCCAAGAAACATTTTTGAACGCTCAAAAGTTAGATTTGAATGAATAAAAATGCATAAGTTTGAAAAGTATCATAAAACACGATGTCTTATTTCTATTTTCCCCTCGCTGTGTTCAGAAGGAAGCAGCGAGTTCGAATTGGACCGTCCCACGATTCCATCGACTCAATGAAAGTCACATGAGCTTTTAGAACGCGCTGATTTGCTAGCAGTTACAAATCCCTTCTGCTGGTGGTTATGCCCTAAGAGGCCAAGGTCAAATTTACGCGCTACGGTGACGGACGAGCATTGCGTCTCTGGTTGCACCAATCACAATTGCAAGCCATCTTCACGTCAAATTCAAATCCCGTGATTATCCCAGCCTCCTTCTTTCTTTGGCTTTCACTACGATCACACACATTTCACTACTTTTCTTCTCTTCATTGTACTATCTACATGTATTTTCTTACGACCTGTCTGGCACTTACATTTACATTGTCACATTTCTCGTCTCTTTTGCATTACTCCATGTTTGTTTTCAACCTTGTATGTTTCATCTTGTCATAATAAATGTTGATTATGATATAAATCTAGATCTAGATCTATTACTGTTATTTTTATAGACTTCTGTCTTGCTGACTGTTGCTTTGATTTGCATGGTCTGACTTTAGAGTTCGAGACTGCGGGATTTTATGCTTTGATTTTTATTATGACCTGTTTGCACCCATTATCCTCGCACGTCGCACATGAATGCGGCTGTACTGTCAACGAGGGGCAAATAACTTTCAAAACAAACTGGTGCCCTCCCCTGATGTCAATGAAAACATTGCCTGCCTCAATCCCGACCTCTGTGACCTCTTCCCTGCTCCTTCCCCCTCCCCCCTCCCCGCCCCCTTTGTCTACACTGGTCCGTGGAGTCGGGATTCTCTACAGCGTGTTCGACTCGACGGATGTAGGGAGAACGACTTGACTTGACACGAATCCCATCGAATTGACCTTGCCTCTCCTCAAATTTGATTGGCTGCTATCTTGACCTGAATTCGAATTCGGAGTCGAAGTCGACGAATTCGCGCCCAAAAATGTTCGGAGTCGAAAGTTCGGAAGTTCTCGGAGTCGGCCCACCCTTACTGTGGCGTGCGGTGGCCTAATGGTTAGGCTATCGGACTTGTTATCCGTCCGGGGCTTCGAGCAGCGGGCCCGACACGTTGTGTCCTTGGGAAAGGCACTTTACACGAATTTTCCTCACTTCACCCAGGTGGGAATTGGGAATGGGTACTCGGCCATAGCGAAAGATCTTGTTAGTCAGTAAGTTTAAAACTAGGTTAGTGTTTTGGCGTCTATATAAATGACCTCTTGCGCACTGTATGCAGCAATGCTTCCCAGGAAGTTGAGGTTGTTTCAAAATGCTCTCAGGTCTGCTAGGGTAATAGTGTAGATTGTGAAGCGCATTAGAGCTCGCTGTTGAGCGGGGATTTGCGCTATACAAATGCTATCTATCTCTCTGTGTTGTCGAATGGCCAGTATGCGGGTCCCAAATGAGATACATGTAATATGCCGCAACATTGCAAACACCATTGCTGGTGGAACATAGTCATGATAGTATTGTAAGGCAATGTAAGGTCCTTGACGTGAACCGGTATGGGTGCGTGAGTGCGTGAGTGAGTGTTGGTGTGTGTCGTGTGTGTGATGAAACACCAAATCACCAAAAGCAGTGTGTTCGACAAAATTAATGTAGGCTATTCGAAAATTGGAAAACAAAATACTTGACATCGAATAATAAAAGAATATTCGAATATCCGCAAAACTTTGCAAGGGGAAATGACTCTCACATTTTACGAGTTGCCATTGACTTCCTGGTGGGGAGTAACTCTTAACGATTCTAAATAGACTCACGTTTTCTTTCCCACTGAAAAGCAAACATGGCTTTGCTAGCTGAAGCAAAACGGAAAACAAAGTATGGCCTGGATCCAAGAAATACAACCTGGAGCAATGGTAAAAAAATCTTGGGCACTTGTTCTTCATACAATGTCTACTTTGTGCTTTTGTCTTTGTTAGTTGGTTTCTTTTGGACTTTGTGTTTGTAGCATGGCGACTGACTGACACGAGATACAACAGTCGAAGTCGAACACTATCATTACATTTTTTTTTTCAGGCCTAACTGTTTATCTTAATACGTCTAAATATCTTTACCGTGTGTAGATATCCAGGCTAGCCTAGGCCTGATAAGTGTGTCTAGTGTCTGTGTGTTTATGTGTGTGATCTACCAGCGTGTACACGTGTTTGCATGTGTGAATCTTCCCGTTCTTTTGTTCTTGTGCGTGTGTATGTGTATGTATGTTCGTCTATGTGTGTGCTTGAGAATATATATTATAATGTATTGAGGGTGTCTGGAATGGCTGAGGCTGAGCAATACCAAAATGTATTCCAATTCTATACAGTGAGTGGAACTCGGATTTAACAAGTTCAGATTCAAGGGAAGGAGATGGATTCCCGTTTTGGGAGGACTTCCGTAACAAGCGACCACTACGAGACAGAGCAGAATTGAGGGGAAGGGTTTGGGTTAGGGTTAGGCCTCTCTTCTTTATTGTGTTTGATAGGGCGGTCGCTCGTTACAGAAGTCCTTCTCCCGTTTTTTTTTTCTTCTTTAAAATCGATATAAATAACCCGGATTCAACGAACACTTAAATCAGCGAGCTCGAATTCAACGGGGTCACTTCAGGGTGAACAGCCCCCGCAAACGTGGCTCAGCTCATTTTTCTCCCAAACGAACTTTATCTATTCCTCAAAGTCGAGTACCATTCACTGCTGGGTGGGCAGGAGGGGGCAAAAAAAATCTGTATCTGAACTGAAGCTCGATCCCGGACTTTCCGCTTCCGAGACGAGAGCACTAACCGCTTCGCCACCACACCCTCTAACTGTGTGATGGTAGTGAAAGTAAAATAATACCGCAATCTTTACCACCACCATCATGCCTTTTATATATTTTTTGGCTGCTGAACATTAGGCTATATTATTGAATAAAAGAGACACTAGCTGAACATTAGGCTATATTATTATTATTATTGAATAAAAGAGACACTAGCTGAACATTAGGCTATATTATTGAGTAAAAGAGACACAAGCTGAACATTAGGCTATATTATTGAGTAAAAGAGACACTAGCTGAACATTAGGCTATATTATTGAGTAAAAGAGACACAAGCTGAACATTAGGCTATATTATTGAGTAAAAGAGACACTAGCTGAACATTAGGTTATATTATTGAGTAAAAGAGACACTAGCTGAACATTAGGCTATATTATTGAGTAAAAGAGACACAAGCTGAACATTAGGCTATATTATTGAATAAAAGAGACACTAGCTGAACATTAGGCTATATTATTGAGTAAAAGAGACACAAGCTGAACATTAGGCTATATTATTGAATAAAAGAGACACAAGCTGAACATTAGGCTATATTATTGAGTAAAAGAGACACTAGCTGAACATTAGGCTATATTATTGAGTAAAAGAGACACAAGCTGAACATTAGGCTATATTATTGAGTAAAAGAGACACTAGCTGAACAATAGGCTATATTATTGAATAAAAGAGACACTAGCTGAACATTAGGCTATATTATTGAGTAAAAGAGACACAAGCTGAGCAATAGGCTATATTATTGAGTAAAAGAGACACTAGCTGAACATTAGGCTATATTATTGAGTAAAAGAGACACTAGCTGACAGCGTCGCTTAAGAGCGAAGTGAGGCCCAAGTAAGACTGAGATAAAGTTAGTAAGATATTTACAATAATTTCATAAGAAATTCCTAAAGACAGATATACAAGAAGGACTTAATTTGTTAGGTAAATTTTTACTTTCACTCCCGCACACAGATGCACTGTTTCAGGGGTCAAACTGCTGTACTGTTTGCTGCAGATCACACATAAAGCCACTAAAACTGTCGCAAATCAATTATTTTCAAGACAATTTCAAATCCAACTGTAAAATATCAAATTATGGGTGTAAAAACGGGGGCATGCCCCCCTGTAACCCCCCAGATTTTCTTATACCCCAGTGGGGCAGGCCCCCCTGGAACCCCCCGATTGGTCCAAAGCATGTCTATCTCGGTTAAAAACAATCAAATATTTCAAAAACCATTAATTTGCGACGGAAATGAAGTTGATATTCATGTTCAGCGCATCAATATTTAGTAGAAAATAGACAACTGGTAGCTGAGTGTGAGACGGGAGGGAAAGTAAAAAAATACCATTTGTTCAATGGTTAATGAAATGTTCCCTTTATGGTTCTGCAGATGAAAGTAAGTTTGGGCAGAAGCTCATGGAAAAAATGGGCTGGACAAAAGGCAAAGGACTCGGTGCAAATGAAGACGGCATGGTGGATCACATAAAAGCCAGCTACAAGTCCGACAGCAGAGGTAGGTTGCTGCAGTGTCATTGGAGTCTTCTGAGGTAGCCTCCCCAACTCTTTTGATTCCTGTAGATTTGTTAAAACCTGAGTCTTTTCCATTTTCCACATCTCTATGGTAGGCTATTTTTTCATGAAGTGTTGTGACAGATTCTATGAGCCTGTGCGAGAACCAAAGAATTTGTCAATGTGTGATATAGACTAGTATTGTTTTGTACTCCTTATAAAAAACACATTTATGAGTTTGTTACTTAAAACCATTGCCTTCATCTGAATCCATCAGTTTATATTTGTTTCTGACTTCAATGTAGTTCTACACTGTTTGTTCATTCTAATTTTTAAGAAGATAACCATACATCACTGGCACTTGAAAGTTTATTGATATTCAACTCCTCTTTGGAGTGGTATAGTATGCAAGTTGCACTGAAAAAGTAACCTGGAAGCATTGAATTCATTTTTTTTTTCTCATCGAAATTGCAGTGCCAGCAGGCATTATTGATGTTAAAAATCACCTAGATCAAAACACTGAAGGTTTTTGTTATTGTCATCACATTGAGTCTTTGAGGTTCATGACACTCCATCAAAAAAGTGGTGTGTGCGTGATGATGCATCGGGTTATAGTTAAATGAAAATATTTTAGCTCCCTTGATGCGTCTAGCGAAAGTAGAACAGTATACAAGCTCCTCTGGTCTGACTTTATATTTGTGTGCAATTGAGATTTTTTGCCAGCTTACCCACAGACTTATACAGCACACATAGAAGATACTTGAAGATAGTACATACCTACCTAGATCTGTAGACGCAGTTTCAATACAGTAACCACCTGATGAGGTTGGTTACATACCGCTATGGAGATTAGTTGGTTAAATTATTTTCATATTGAGAAAAGCAAAAATGGAACATTTTTTATTTCCTTTCATGTATGTGAAAAAAGCTGGCTTGCAATTTAATTTTCTTTTTTTTTTTTGGGGGGGGGGGGTTACCCTGCTCTTTGAAATCAACACTGACGTTTGAAGGCAAGTCCAGGGAAGGGGTAAGAGTGTGGTGTGTGATGAGTATACAAATGAACAACTTAACAACCTGTACAACACAGGCCGGGGGGGGCTGCTTTGTTGTCTCTTTTTTTTCTCTTTCCTGACAGAAACCATTGCTGATCTCAGATTGCATCCCTCTTTCATGCCTTTTTTTCCTCTTGCCCTCTATAGGTCTGGGATGCACACCAAAGGATGCCGATGCGTGGATTGCTCATCAAGATGACTTCAACGACCTGCTGAAAACTTTGAATTCTGAAACGGGTGGAGAATCCGCACCAGCAAAGACAGATGAAAAAGCTGATGGCAGAAAGCGATTGTGAGTGTTCGGATGAAAATGTGCCTTCTTGTGCCTTGGTTTTTTATTTTTTTTATTCTGGATTTGTGTTTCAGCTTTTCTTTTATTTCAGCTCAGACTGACACTGTAAACAGTAAACAAATTTTTACTTGTTAGTTCCTGTAAAATGTTGTTAGTACCTGTAAAATGTTGTTAGTAGGCCTACCCGTAAAATGTTATTAACTGAATTTTTAAAAAATGATTGAATGAAGGACTAGAACACAGTGTAAGATACAGCAATGTTCCTGCACATAAGCTTTTTTTCTTTTTTCTTCCTGTTTGCCTTGAAGCAAATTTTGGTACTATTAAACTTGTATAAAGCATGCAAGTGCCAAATTAATTTTGTTTCAGTTCAACAAAATTATTACAGATGTGTAATGGGAGTTTCAGGTGGAGATACTTTTGTGGGTGGTTGGTGGGTGCTCTGGTGGGGTTTGCTTCTACTTTCCTATCAAACATCTATCGTCCTTATCTCCTCTTCTTCTTTTTTTATGTTTGTTACTCTCTTGTAACAAGTCTAATCTTCTGGCGCTCCTATGACCTTTTGCAGTTGCGAGTGCCGTAATACCTCTACTAAAACTAAAGGAGATACTTTTTACATGAAATTTCTATTTTAGGGATGTTGCAATGAATGTTTTGTTTATTATTGATGTTATCAAACTCCGCGCTCTCTGATTTATTTGTGAGTTTTTGACATTTTTACCACAAGTCTTTGTTGAAGAGTACATTCTACTTGATTTATTGAGATGGCGATTTATACGAATAATTACAGTCTTTTTGTGAAATTTTTAAAATATTATATTGATCTGGCTGTTGCCCGTGACGGACATTATATAGTCTTGAGTTTATTCCTTTGGCAGTTACGGCCGGTTCGCTCGAGGGAGAGTTCCAACACTACGTAGCACGGAAGATCTTGATTGCATATTTGGCAAGAGAAAGTCTGCTGCTTCAACGGACTCGCCAGCCAAAGAATCGACGGTGAGTCTATATTTACGTGTTAATAATAATAGACAGCCTTTGTATAGTGCAAATTCCCTCTCCACAGCAAGCTCTATGTGCTTCTCAATCTATACTATTACCCCAGCAGACCTCAGAGCATTCTCCGTGAAATGGTATAAATTATAAATTACAAACATATCGATAAAATAAAAAATAAAACATTTTCAACAATAAAACTAGTTCATGAATATAAGGTCAAAGGGTAAGTAATATTGAGGAAGTCTCTTGACTTTTGATTTGCTCACTTGATTTTTTCTTCTTAGTTATTTGGATAATGGATACCATCTTAACAGAGTCAAAGACCCTTGTCTGTGTCGCTGGTTGATGTGAATGGCGTCTGTGGGAAGTCCACATTTGGAACGTGGAACGATTACGTAGATTTTCTATTGAAACTTTGTCTTTTTTAGCCCATATCCCTTCAACATTTTCCTAAGCAGCATCCCTTGTGGTTACTTTTATTGCTATTCTAATCATGGGATTGAAACCATCTTTTTGAAGCAAAACAAACTCGTGGGTGGTTGTCAGGTGCTCTGGTGTGCTTTGCTTCTTCTTTCCTATCAAACATCTATCATCTTTATCTGCCCTCCTTCTTTTTTGTGTTTATTACTCTCTTGTAACACCTTTCTAATCTTCTGGCGCTCATATGACCTGATGCAGTTGCGAACGCCATAAAAACCTCTACTACTGAAACAAAACTTTTTCATTACTGTAAGTTTTTAAATTTGTCAATTCTCAGGATTCGTCTGACAGCAGTGACAGTGACGATGAGGGCAGTGACGACAAAACTGACAAGGAAGAAAAGAGTCACGGACTGACCACCGTCACCAGCACAAGCAGCGTCCAGGAATACTTCGCTCGGAAGATGGCGGAGAAAAGGGCGAGGCAGGCTGCTGGTGGAACGTCGGGGGGTCAGGACAGTCCTGACAGCGAGAAGGAAAGGGACAAAAGCGAGAACCCGCGACAGGGAGGGGGAGAGAACTCCAGCAAGGCTCCGGCAGTGTTTGGGGCTGTGGCATTTTGTTACGACAACGGGGGGGACAACAAAGAGCTTAAGCAGGAAGGTGGAGACGCACAAACTTCGAGCGATGTTAGGGATGAGGATATTCAGCAGAGTCGAGGCTGGTATGAAAATTTTCCAGAGAACGCCGGCTTGAATGAGAAGAGTGAAGACCTGGACACTTCAAAAACGAAAAAGAAGAAAAAGAAAAAGGATAAAAAGGATGACAGAGAAGAACCCGATCTCTCAGACGTGAAAACCAAGAAAGAGAAAAAGTCTTCAAAGAAAGCTGATCAGTGTGATAATGATTGTGCCGTGTCCGTGGAAGATGTTTCGCTAGAGGACGATGCTGGGAAGTCTGCCGGGAAGAAAGAAAAAAAGAAAAAGTCAAAGAATGTTTCTGAAGATGCTGAACTTTCACAAGAAGAAAATGCTGGTTTGACTGAAAAAACGAAGAAAAGGAAGAGCAAGGAACTATCGGTTGAAGAAGATGGATCAGAAGCCGTGCCAAAGAAGAAAAAGAGGAAGTTGGATGAAAGCAGCGACGTTCTGCCAGAGGGAGACCCTGGCCAGGATTGTGAGGCACAAGAAAAAGTGAAGAAGAAGAGGAAGAAGGGCAGTGAGAAGAGTACGGAAAATGACGAAGAAGCAGATTCTGTAGATGATAAAAGTTCGGACGATGCACACAGCAAGAAGAAGAAGAAGAAGAAAAGTCGAAATGTCAAAGATGACTCACTTGAAAATAGTGCTGAGCTGGAAACTGAATCGGAACGAAAAGCTGGTGGTTCCAAAGAGGAGAGAAAGAAGAAAGGAAAAAATGTGACTTTTGAACTCGGGGAAGAAGAGGAGGATGCGGACTCAAGTAAGGCCCTCGACACTGAGTCAAATGACAAAAGTAAAAAGAAAAGAAAAAGTAAGAAAGAATCCGAGTCTCCTGCGGAAGGTGAAGTTTGCAATGACGCAGCGGATGCTCAAACTGAGGTTCCAAAGAAGAAGAAAAAATCTAAGGGGGATAATGACGTAAAGCCTGACACGCCCCCGGCAGAGGAAAGTACAGGCGAGAAAGAGTGTGAAAATACTGACGCTGACAGTAGGGTGAGTGAAGGGCGCAATGCAGAGAATGAGAAATTGCAGAGGAAAGAGAGAAAAAAGAAGCAAAAGTCAAAGAAGGAAGCGAAGAATTTGACAGCCGAGGAAATTTCTGTCCAGAATGCTTTTGCGGGGTCCAACATCTCTGAGATTCCAGGATATACAAATACAGACAAGACAAGTACGAAAAACAAGAGAAAAAAGGAAAAAAGATGAGACGAAACTTTTGTTTGTTTCTCCTACGTTTATAAATTTTGTAGAGAACTTTTCAGTACCGGTAATAATGGCATGTTGACTGTGTTGACTGCATGAGGGGCAGATCATTTCGATCTTAGTGGCAGAAGGTCTGATTCGCTGAGCTGAAACTGTGTGGTAGCTGAGGTTGACCTTGTGTTGTTGAAGCTAGATAGGTGAGCAGAGTAAGCCCCATTCCCTGTAAGGACTTCTCTGTTGACATCCACCCCTTGGCGCTCATGTGACCTTGTGCAGTTGCGAGCGCCGTAATACCTGTATTGAAAAAAAAAATTTTAATATAAAAAAAGGAGTTTATGAATCCTTTGTTGCATTGTAATTTATGGCCTCAGCCACTGTCTTTATGGCTGTACTGAGTGCAGTCCAAACACAGCAGTGACTTTCCCTGGACACAGGCTACAACAATGATGTGACAATGACTGATGACGTGTATTTTACAGCTGTGTGAGCAGGCTTAATTGTCTTGTCCTGCCCTTTTCAACTTTCTGTGTTTATGACAAAATTAAAAATTGTACAAGTGTATATTTTCCCAAAATTAAAATGTACTTAGAGAAACCAACATTCATATTCTTTAGCCCAATTTTTAGCTGGAAACAACTTGGCACAACGTAATTTTAATTTCTTGTGTATATAATAAGAAAGTCTATATATTTATGCCCTCTTAGTGTCTCTTGAATGATAATATAGCTTGCATTCATGGGGATGTGGAACATTTACCGAAAGAATTACTGGTTATGGTTTTATGTTGATGCTGTTTTTCTTCCCTATTTGGACACAGAAAGCTTTGAGATGTTTGACTTGTGCAACTTCATTGTATAGATCACTAAGCATTATCTGAGAGATGTTCAAAGCAGTCCACACTTAAAAAGGATTCATTTAACACAGGCCCAAACTTTGACCTCTCACTTGTGTATATTTACCAGCGTCTGTGGTGTAACTGTTACTGTTAGCGACTTTACCATCGCATGCTGTAGACGGGAGTTGGATTCCCGTGTTGTGGGAGAGATTTTGTCAAGTTTCCCCATTTTTCTCCCGAGACGTATCCCTCGGAGCCTGGTTTGACCCTGATAGGCAGAGGCTAAGTCTAAGCTTGCCTCCTAAATGATCTAAATTGTGTCAAGGGAAGCTTAAAACATCGGCAATTGGGAAATTACTGACACACTTGGATTTCTTTTCTCAGTACAGATGTTTGAGAGCTGTAAGTTTGACTTTTCTTGATGAAAATCATTTTGTGAAGGTACATGTAATGCATTTTCTGTTTGTATAGAGAATTGTACCTGCCATGTTGTGCCTTATCGAATCGTCTCTGCTTTGATGTCCAATACCCCCCGGGGCGGTGCCACTGACTGCAGTGTGTTTAGGCCATTCCCAAAGGGGGGGACATTTCTCGTTCATACACAGTAGAATTGTAAATGGGCTGATTCATCATGTCACGCTCATAACTGTGCCTGATCTACAACAGGAAACTGCTGCTTTTGCTTTCCTAATCCTTACTATTGTCATTTTGCCTCTACTTCTTTTGTATGTTTGTCACCCTCGTGTGACCTGCTATTTTGGGGTGCCTTGACAGTCGAAGCAGACCTTGTGCTGTTGAAGCTAGGCTTGATTCCCTGTAAAGACTCCTCTGTTGACACCCACCCCTTGGCGCTCATATGACCTTATGCAGTTGCGAGCGCCGTAAAACCCTCTACTAAAAAAAAAATTATGTTCAATCTGAACAGCAGAGGGAGACTTGCTCTTTATTGTACGGTCACAGTCTCAGTGTAGAAATAAAACTGATGCTGAACAGATCACAGTACATGTATTGTCATAGTTTTGGTTTTAACACGTCATGCCATACCGTTATGTAATGCCAGAACTAGAACCGGATTCTTTGCACACAAGTTGTGAATGGAGAAGCGAGATACTTTAACTACCAATGACTATAAGTCTGTTTGCTTGGTGATGTAAGTGTGTGCGTGTTTGTGTGTGTGTGTGTCCGTGTCTGTATGAGTGTGTGTGAGTCTTGACATATATAAGGTGTATGTACTGTATTTATCATGCCGCAGCAAATTGCTCTTTGTGGAGATCAATAAAATGTTATCTTGTTTTATCTTATCTTACTTTTTTTTCTGGGGAAAACAAGAATAACAATAATAAAATGCATGTACTTTATGAATAGTCCTGCCAATCGTGTATTGTCACGTTTTCTGTAACTGTTCTTCTTCTTCCTCGTTCTCGATCTCTAAAACTAACAACCACTATATTGAAAGCTTGGGGGCTCACACATTTTTGGGGTTTTTGGTTCTGAAATGAAGAGCAGAGCTCGCTTGGTATAATTCTCTTGGACTCAAGAATAATTCAAATATAGAGTCAAGTGTACAAAAATTCAAGTTTTTCACAGAGTCAGTTGTTGGAAAGAAACGGTTTTTTTCTTCTCATTTTCTCAAAATGGCTAAAAATTACTAAGGAATTTATTATCTTATGAGTGTGACAATTTGTTTTCTTGATCCTATCACCTACCTACCAATGTCAATCAGGATGTGACCTGGTACTAGTGGTACATGTACTAGTCCAATAGTCAAACCAGGTTGTGGGTGGTTGGCGGATGCTCTGGTGTGGTTTGCTCCTTCTTTCCTATTATTAATATTACCAAGCAACTATCGTCTTTATCTCTCCTCCTTTTTTATTTCATATTTGTTACTCTTCTTGTAACACCTCTATTCTTCGGCACTTATTATGACCTTATTGTGTTGCTAGTGCCGTAAATAAAACTTACTAAAACTTTTTTTAAAACGGGTTCGTCGTAGCTTTGGCAAATACTAAAGAGGTTAGCACTGAGTCTGTGGGTTAATTGTGTGCACAGCCCTCACTCGCCTTATTAAGAACAGCTGATCACGTGGGTTTGAAACTTGCAGCTTTTTCAACACATTAGAAGGTCAATAGAAATAAACTACGTTTGGTTTAGGGGGTTCTTGTGGTCGAGAGGTTACGCTGTTCGCCTCTCATTCAAATAAATAGGTCCCGGGTTCGAATTTAGACAGTAATGGAACATTTTCTTCTCTAAAATGTTCTCCTCTCACGTCTTTCTTGCTCTCGAACAATGTTCTGTCGTCTGCTTTCGTCTCCATTTTCTGCCCCTCCCTCCTCACCTCCTCTGGGCTCATGACTCTTTCTCACTGCAGCCTTTCTACTTTTATTCCTTGGCTCCTTATTGCTCTGTCAGCCACACCCCTGATCTTATAGTAGAAAAGATCTAACACCTAGCCTTCTCGGATAAGGACAAACAATCTAGGAGTGGGAGGTCTCGTGTGCAAGTTGTCAACATTAAAGATCCCTTATGGTACAAAATCTATAACTATAAGAGTAGGCTTAGACCGCCTCTTGGGCAAAATTTAAAATTTCCTACCAACTGAAAATCTGCCCCCGTGGTTTTATGCACTCCGCATAATTTAGCTAAATTTGATCAATTTTTGCATAATTTCTGATTGTTTTCCTTTATCATTCTTTGTTAAAATTAACGGAATCGCATAATTTCACTTTTTTGTGTCATCTTAAAGCCTGTCCATTTGACTATCTTTCGATGAAAAAAAAACACATCTCGCTTATATTATGAAAGTGGAGATATTTGCTACTGAAGGAAGTGGGGGTGGCCTGGTTTCAGAGATAAAACTAGGGGGAAAATGGCAGCTAAAGTTTGTTGATTTCCAAAGCCGGAGAGACCTTGGAAACTTAAACTTTACATTTGCTGTGCCTTTAATCAACGTTTTCCAGTAAAATCCTCACAAAAATGTTTTTAAAAGGACATTAAATGTTTTGAGCTAAAAAAAACCCAAAAATTTGAAAAAAAATTTCAAACTGGACGAAAAATGCCAGCATCCTCGTTTGCATTATTTTGACGAGTGCCTGATTTCTCCACGATGCCTCACAAATATTCCTTAAACTTTTCAATCTCAAAACCAATACTTTTTAGCTCATCCTCAATATTTCCAAGGAATTTGTGGTATCATCCACAACATTTTATTTTTTGCCTCAATACCAATAATTTTTTAAGATCATTTCTAGCTCATCTCCAATATTTTTTTATTATGTCCCAAATATTTTCCAGCCCATCTCTAATAGTTTCTAGATTATCCCTTATATTTTCTAGCTCATCACCAATCTTTTCTCTTTCCACCCCCAGTATTTTCTAGGTCAAGCCTAATATTTATAGTTCCACCGCCAGTATTTTATAGGTCAACCCTAATATTTTATAGTTCCACCACCAGTATTTTTTAGGTCAACCCTTATATTTTATAGTTCCACCACCAGTATTTTTTAGGTCAACCCTTATATTTTATAGTTCCACCACCAGTATTTTTTAGGTCAACCCTTATATTTTATAGTTCCACCCCCAGTATTTTCTAGCTCACCCCCAGTATTCCTCACCGGACTCGTAATCATGAGATTGTGAGTTCTGGGGTTCGAGCCTCAGCTCGGTTTGACGTTGTGTCCTTGGAAAAGGCTCTTTACACGAACTTCCCACTTGGCTCGGTCCTATCGGAGACGGACGTTAAACTAGGAGGTCCCGCCCTTAAATAACCTAATAGTGTTGATAGGGGCGTTAAACCTATACCTTTTTCATCAGTATTCCTCTATATTTTCTAGATCATTTCCCGTATTTACTGTGTCTAGCTGATCTCCGAACTTTGCCACTATTTTCTAACCCATTCCCAATATTTTGTGGCTTATCATTGGCAAAGTTTGGAGATCAGCCAGAAAATATGGAGGAATACTGGGGGTGAGCTAGAAAATACTGGGAATGGGGCTAGAAAATGCTAGCAAAGTTATTTGGAGATCAGCTAAAAAATACTGGAAATGATCTAGAAAATATTGAGGAATACTGGGGGTGAGCTAAAAAAATACTGTGGATGAGCTAGAAAACATAATATTTAAGCTTGAAAATACTGGGGATGAGCTAGAAAATATAGGGGATGAGTTTTTAAAAAATACTGCGGATGAGCTAGAAATTACAGAGGGGGGGGGGGGGGGGGGTGAGCAAGAAAATATAAGGGATGAGCCAGAAAATTTTGGGGATGAGCTAAAAAAATATTAGGGATGGGCTAGAAAACATTAGGGGTGAGATAGAATATATTGGGGATAAACTAGAAAATACTGAGAATGGTCTAGAAAGTGCTGGGGTGAGCTACAAAATAGTGGGGATGAGCTAGAAAATATTAGGGATGAGCTA